GATGATAGTTCTCAACCCAGCCAGGCTTCTGAGGGAAGGTCACATCCAAAAGGAAGTGTTTTGGCACCAATGGCTGGTTTGGTCGTTAAGGTTTTGCTTAAGGATGGGGTACACGTGGAAGATGGTCAGCCTGTCATGGTTATAGAAGCAATGAAGATGGAGGTCCGAATGAACTTGCTGACGATATTTTGGAATTTTTTAATCAAATTAGTGAATGCTGACATAACTCTCTTGTATTCCTTTTGTCAGCACGTTGTGAAGGCGCCTCGGGCAGGTTATATAGAAGGGCTGAAGGCTACCGCTGGACAACAAGTTTTTGACTCCAGTGTCCTTTTCACTGTCAAGGTATGTGTTAATAATTGACCATATCTTTGAATTTTTTTTGTTTTCCATTTTGTCATAACAAAGTGTACGCCATGTCTCCGTTTGGCCATCGTTATATTTTGACCCATACCGACGGAAGTCTCGAAAAGTATTCAAACCTAGAAGATTGGATCCATTTGTTACCATTTATGTAAAAGTTCTCTGTCTCTAACGAGCTGAACTAAACAGTAGTGTTCGACAATGTGAATATTTGAGTTAATAGAAACAGTGGTGGTAGCGTTTAACCTTATTTTCTCCTGGGGGCTGCGAGTTTCAACCCCACCTAGAGAGCCCTATAAATGGTTTTCTGGTAGACCAGGATCCCGTGTTGAATTAAATGAAACCAAACGTCTCACGAGTAAATAATGTTCTCATTTTGCAACACCGGAAAATGTTAGTCGCTTCGCTTCTCGGGTGATTCCCCATCAACTTGTATTTTTTCCTTTCTCCAGGATAAGAGCACGAACTGATGAACCCAGAAATTGGAGCCAGATATCAGAATTCGAGTGGCGGCTCCGCCCTTGGGAAAGAAGAATAAGCGAACAGGCAGCTGGAGATCATTCTGTGACTAAATAATACTAGGTGATCTCCCTAGTATAGCCGGAGATCATAGAAGCTGTAGGAGGCAACATCAGAGAACAAATGTTCGTTGGAAGCGGCCTCCGGAGGGAGCATATATGGCGAATGTCGACGCCGCCTACAATCAGAGCACAGATTTTACTGAAGGATTCATTGCGCTAGTTGTCATCCGATTAACAACGCCCTCGACGCTGTTATGGCCGAAGCAAGTGCAGCAAGAGATGGGCAGAAGATGGGGCACCATAAAATCATACTTCAATCTGATTGTCCTCAAGTTACTGAAACTTTACATTTTTTTTCTTTTTGAAAAGGAGGATGATCCCCCGGCCTCTTCATCTGGGCGATGCATGCGACCATTTTTATTAATTATTCACAAAGATCTTACAAAAGCAATACATGACTAAGTCTGAAGCCACCATCTTGACAACATCTGTCGCTATTTCTATCCAGTTGATGAAGGGGTGCCGAAAGTCGGAGCCGAATATCAAACATACCTCGCACCAAATCCTAACATCTAAAGCCGGGGACCCCCACCAAGCCGCTTGCCGGGTTTGGGGTACACACCGGTCCGACACATTCTTAGAGTCCGCCGCTTGCCGGGTTTGGGGTACACACCGGTCCGACACATTCTTAGAGTCCGCCGCCGCCGTCTTCCACCGATCCATCTTTAGAGTAGGTACTGACGCATTGACAATGCCAGGCCTACCGTCAACACCACCACAACGCCAAACAACGCCACCTCCCTACGCACGTCCACCAAGACGCATCTAGCGCCGAGACCCACCGTCCACGATACGGTTGATGCCACGCTGCTCCACCTACATGCCATCTCACATCAGACTCTGAACTACTAGCAACTCCACCACCCCTGAGCAGTCCCCGACCGACGCCTTCAGGAAGGAACACGACACCAAGGTGTCACCGTCGCCCAAACAGAGGAACAGAGGCTTTCGCCTGCACTCATGGCAGGGGTAGGAGGAATAGGATCCACACAGAAGCCCCAGGAAGGGAATCGGCGCCGAGGGGCATCGACTTTGGTGCGGCCGCCACGCCGGCCTGGTGTTTCTCCCGGATCCATGCCCACTCGCAAGATCTGCCCAGGCAGCACCAATAAACATTGACCGCAGTCGCAAAGTACCATAGCAAGCATGAACCGGAGCAGATCGAATCAGAGACGACGCTTCCCATGGAACTTCGGCCGGCCATCGAGGAGCCGCCACAGCGCCGCTGCCTCCACGCCGCCCACGCGGTCGTGGAAGGTCACCCATCTGCACCCGCCGGTGCCGCCCGTCGGGCAGGCCGCACCACGCGCCACCGATCGAGGCCGCCGCCCCGAGATCGGATCTGCCAGCCGCCACCGCGCCATGAGAGCCAGAGCCCACCACGCCTGTGTCTGCGCACCGCACGCACTCCCGCGCGCCGTACGCGCTCGCCCCGACGACCACACGCTCCCACGGTATACGCCCCGCAATGCCTGAGCCCCGCGAGAGGGAGAACCAGAGTGCCCCTCCGCCGCCGACGCTGCGTGGGCTTTGACCGGCGGCGGCGAGGGGAGGGAGTTCGCCCGGGTCGCCCGCGGGGTAGGCGACACGGGGGCTCTCTCGGCTCTCACCTCGACCGGGTTTTGACTAGCCCGGGTCGTCCGCGGGGTAGGAGACACGGGGGCTCTCCCAGCTCTCACCTCGACCGAGTTTTGACTAGCCCGGGTCGCCCGCCTGGCTGAAACTTTACATGATAGTGGATTCTCATCAACAACAAGTTGTGCAATGCGAATCAACCTGTGGTTGAGTTGGTTAGGTGGACAGTGGTATCCCCAACCCACCAGGATTCAAATCTTGGTGCTCGCATTATTCCTGGATTTCAGGATTTCCGGCGATGCGCTTTCAGTGGGAGGAGTCGTTCCCGTCGACGACGAGGCGCCTATGGTGACTTCGTAAATCTCAAGATGATATACCGGCTCAGTCTCTCGGAGGTGCTCATAGGGGTAGGGTGTGCGTGTATGCGTTCATATGGATGAGTGTATGCGCGTGTATATGAGCGCTTGTGTCTGTACTGATGCTAAAAAAAACAAGTTGTGCAATATTTGAAGAATGTGCACTGATAGCTAGTGCTTTTGATGATGTTAGTTTCAAATTCTGTCTAAGGGAAGCCAATTCGGATGGCTGTGAGATAGGTAGGCCTTCTGGTAATTGCAAATTATGTATTGGTTGATGAACCCCGTAGTTTTGAAAATGTTATCTAACAAACGTCAGTTAGGAAGGGGGTGGCAAGCGAACATTTTTTTGTAGCAAGTTTAGTAGATATAAGAGATGGCATATCCTACCCTTATTTCCCGCAAAATCTCTCTTCTTCCCGGAATTTGACATGTGTTTCTGAAGAAACTGTCAACACCATCCAACTAATTTTTTGTTGTTGTGAAAAGCCATCTATCCAACTAAACTTGCCAGCTAAAACATTTGCAAATGCTAACCCCTCCCAATGAACGTTCACCAGCTATCAAGGCCCACTAGTTTTCTTTTGCCTACCTTTTAAACGATGTAACTATTATTGCAAACCACGGATGGCTCCCCTAAGAAAGAAGACAATGTCGGGGTGTTCATTGTGGTTTCATAAGAATATATGCAACATTAAGTTGGGATTTTTCTTCCATACTATTTCCATATTCATGTGGAGAAGGCCTATGATAAGATACCGCGGAATGTCATGTGGTAGCCTTGGAGAAATACAAAGTCTGAGCAAAGTACATTACCCTCATCTAGGACATGTACAATAATGTTGTGACAAGTGTTCGAACAAGTGATGGCGACACTGATGACTTCCCGATTAAAATAGGACTGCACCCGGGGTTAGCTTTGAGCCCTTATATATATATATATATATATATATATATATATATATATATATATATATATATATATATATATTTTACTTTGGTGATGGATGAGGTCAGAAGGGATAGTATGGTGCTAGTCGACGATATCGGACGGGGGTCAATAGGAAGTTGGAATTATGAAGACAAACCTTGGAATCGAAAGGTTTTAGGCTTAGTAGAACTAAAACCGATTACATGATGTGCGGTTTCAGTACTACTAGGCACGAGGAGGAGGATGTTAGCCTTGCTGGGCAGGTGGTGGCCCAGAAGGATACTTTTTGATATTTGGAGTCAATGCTGCAGAAGGATAGGGGCATTGATGAAGATGTGAACCATCGAATCAAAGACGGATGGATGAAGTGGCGCCAAGCTTATGACATTCTCTGTGACAAGAGAGTGCTACAAAAGTTAAAAAGGCAAGTTCTATAGGATTGCGGTTCGACCCGCAATGTTGTATGAAGATGAGTGTTGGTTGATTAAAAGGCGACATGATCAACAATTAGGTGTGGTGCAGATGCGCATGTTGAGATGGATGTGTGGCCACACAAGACTGGACCGAGTCCAGAATGATGATATATGAGATGGAGTTGGGGTAGCATCGATTGAAGAGAAGCTTGTCCAACATCGTCTGAGATGGTTTGGGCATATTCAGCGCAGACCTCCAGTGCATAGCGGATGGCTAAAGCGTGCTGATAATGTCAAGAGAGGTCGGGATAGACCAAACTTGACATGGAAGAGTCTGTAAAGAGAGATATGAAGGATATAATATCACCAAAGAACTAGTCATGGACAGGGTGCGTGGAAGTTTGATATCCATGTGTCAGGACCATTTCATATCCATGTGCCAGAGCCATGAGTTGGTCGCGAGAGGGTTTCACCTCTAGCCTACCCCAACTAGATCTCTGAACATAGGCTGCTCAACAACTAGAATATTGGAATCTACATTCCAACACAAATCTTATTCCATACCACGTTAGAAAGAAATTCACCTTCAAAGGCCCCCTTTGTATTCTGCTAAGACAACAGCAGTACACTTTATTGAAACCTATCTTTCACATTTATTTGAGTGGATAGGCCCACCAGCTTTATATTTCAGTTTCCAAAAGACAACTTTCACAATCTAAAACCAGCTCATACACTATTTTCACTCGTTTCTTAGTTACCCACCCCCTCGCCGACTTAGTTCTTAATTATGTGCTTCCTTGCCAGAAAGCTTGTCCAGGAAGGACAGTATCTCAGAGTTCACCCTCTCGGCCTGCTCTTGCTGGAGGAAATGGTGGCCTTCAATGATGGAAACCTCAAGGTCAGGAACATTGGACTTGAAACCCCCGCTCTCGATGTAGCGCTTGACTCCGAAGGACTCGACACCGATGTCCTTCTCACCCCCGATGAACTTTGCAGGCACTGTGATCTTTGCAGCGTGCCAGGGTGCAGTAAGCCTCCAGTTCCTGTGTTTGATGTGAATTGGTGCGTATGAGCTACATAAAATGGAAAGGATATGAAGAATATAAAGTAACGAAGTTTACGTGTCCATGTTGCGGTAGTAGTTGAGGGGTCCGGTGAAGCCAGACTTCTGAAACTTCTCAGCATACTGGCCCAGTTCTTCCTCGGTCATCCAAGGAAGTGGGGATGATGACACATCGAAAAAATCTATAATCTCTACTCCAGGAGGAGCAGCAAGGTCATCTAATTCAATGGAGTAGAACTTCTTTAGGACAGTCGCAACGTCGTACCGAGCAAATGCCTTTTCAGCTCTTCCAGGCTCCTGCAGGCATGAGCTTTAAATAAGGCGAAGTTGGTAGTTTTGCAACAACTACAGAGTTATATGCAGATCATGACTACAACTACAAGGCAAAGATATGCTCATCTTGGCGATAATTCAACCCAGAGCCCGGGCTCGGATGAGCCCGGTGAACAGTACTGCGATTTAAAAAGAAAAATAAAGTTCAAAAAATTCCAATTTTTTTGTGGTGCAAGATGCTCCTGTGCGTGAACCCCGTGCAAAATTTTGTGAAGTTTGGACATTCGAGAAGCTCGTGGCAAAGAAGACAAAATCAGTCGTGAATAGTGTGATTTTCAAAAGTTTCTCAGACATCCAAATTTTGTCTTTTTTGCCACGAGCTCATCGAATGTCAAACTTCACAAAATTTTGCACGGAGTTCACGCACAGAAGCATCTTGCACCACAAAGAAATTGAAATTTTTTGATTTTTTTTCCTTTCAAAACGTGGTACTGAGGTTCATGCCTGGGCTCATCTGAGCCCGGGCACCAAATTGCCGCCCTCTCATCTCGGTGCCATCCTGGACCTTAGACTGTAGTTTTGGACGCACAAAAATAATCTTTGCGTTTGTGTCCTGATTATAGAATCTTACTCTGGCGAAATGTTAATAGATGATGTATTTGTTCTAATTTTCAGAAAACAATTTGGATCATAATTTAGATGCATACTAGTATCAGTTAATAAATCTATGCTTCTTCAGCATAGAAGTTTAAAGATTCTCAACCAATTAGCCTCCTCGAATCATCATCTGCTTCATATTTTTTCCTATGAACATTTGCTTCAGTTTGTATGTGATTAATTTCCATTTCACACAACCCAATTCACTGATTCCATGCTGTATCAGGTCCCCCATGGCATTGGCAAAGAAGAATGCTAACTGAAATTAAGTCAGATGGAACAAGGACCACAGCACCTGGAACTGCGTGATGTAGAACCCATCGCCGCGCGCCGCGAACATCTCCGCCATCGAACGAGGGGAGCGGGGGAAGAACGGGATCCCCAGCGCGACGACGGCGCGCACCCGGTCCGGCCGGAACAAGCAGAAATGCCACGCCACCTGCGCGCCCCAGTCGTGCCCCACCACCACCACCTGCGCCGGCGCCGGTGTCAGTGCGTCACTCGCGGCGGCCAAGCAAGAAGAAACCAACAGCTACGCACCTTGGGGAGGCGGAGGTGGTCGAGGAGCGCGACCACGTCGCCGACGACGTGGAGCATGGTGTAGGCGGCGGGGTCCGCGGGGGCGTCGGAGTCGCCGTAGCCGCGGAGGTCGGGGGCGAGGGCGCGGAAGCCGCGGGCGGCGAGAGCAGCCATCTGGTGGCGCCAGGAGAGCCAGAGCTCCGGGAAGCCGTGGAGGAGGAGCACCGCCGGGCCGGCGGCGGGGCCCTGCTCGGCGACGTGGAGGGAGACGCCGTTGACGTCAGCGTTCCAGTGCCGCACCTCGCCTGCACCGCCGGACTCCATGGTTGAGTTGACTCTCACTCGCCTCGCCGGCCGAGCGTGCTTTGTCGGACTCGGCTTCAGTGTTTTTTTCTTTTTGGGGGACGGCTTCAGTGGTTTTGACATCAGCAACGAGGTCAGCTTCAGCGACTTTGAGAGCACAGCCACCGAGCAATCTGCCGTTCATTCTACATCAAACGCACAGGATCCACCCAAGGAAAATGAAAAAAGGAAAACGCCGAGACTTGCAGTTTCGAGCTTTCCAGTGACATGAATAGCAGAATCGTTGCACTGGACACTCTCCAGTTTGAAGATTTCACACTAATTTTGTTGATCTCTTACAGAATAAAGAAGGCAACAATTGAACTTTGATCACACAAGGCAAAAACTGATCCCATTACAGAAAAAAAAGAATTACAGCACACCACTTATAAATTTAAAAGCACTTAACATTGAAAGTACAAGTACAACCTCGGTTCGAAATTAGTTGACTTAGATTTGTCTAGACACAAATGTATCTAACACTGAAACACGTCTAGATACATTCGTATTTAGACAAATCCGAGTCAACTAATTCGGGATAGGTGGAGTACAACTTATGAACAACAATGCAAGTTTGTTACGTAGCAGTTTCACTTGTGCCACTGATGAACAATCATTCAAGTATGGTGCATAAATAACCTAAAAAACAACTTTGAACATCTCAGGGATATTCTAGACATTTTACTCAAAAGCCACACATCACACATCTGGTTTACCAAACGGTAACTATTACCGAAAAAGGGTTTCCCCCGCTTTGTATACAAAGCAACCAACCGAACCATACATGGATAGATGCTGGGGCGGAAGCAGCACAGTCACGCCCAAAAGAAACGACAGAGAAAAGCAAAAGAAACAAATGCCGAAAACGGCGGATCAACAAAGCGAAGAAGCCTCGCGATCGCAGCGCCCACCAGGATCTTCCACTAGACTCCAAGACTCCGAAGCGCCGGCACCTATCAACACCTTCAAGAAGGATCGCGACGATGACGATGCTGCTGCTAAGGGTTTCCCCCGGTACACGACGAGGCGAGAGGAAGGGTAGCTCCGACGCCCTCCCGGAAGATCAGGTGGCACCCACAGGCGCCACCGCGTCGGCGTTGGCCATGCCAACAGGGATTTCCCCCGATCCCAACCCGCACCTCGGGCACCCCGGAGCCTGCCACCAAACCAACCACCATCGTACGCCAATGCGGTCTTGAGGCCCCCACGCCGTGTCACCACGGCACCGCGAAGTGAGGATAGCACGCCGAAGAATCAGAGCCAGGACTAGGGCATCAGCACCATCGGCACGCGGGAGGGCCCCACCTCCACCGTCCGCGACGGTAGCCGTCCGGACGCAATAGCGGGAGCACACCAGGCCCGTGGGCCCACCGGCCCGGCCGAGCCCTCGTGGGCTCGCAAAGCTCCCGCCTTCGCGCTGATGCCGGCACGCCGGCGGTGCCGCCGCCCCAATCCGAGCCGCTCTTCCTCCTCACCGCGCCGCAGACAACGAGGCTACGCCCAGGGACCGGCCCGCTAGGACCCAGATGGGGCCCTAAGGGCCCAGATCTGGGCCGAGGACGCGCCGCCGGCCACCC